GGGTATTGTAAGCAGTAGAGTAGCCTTAGTGCTACGATCTGCTGAGATTAAGCCCTTGTCCTAAAGATTTGTTTTTTTCCTATCCGCGTGATTGGCAGGTTTCAGGTGCTATTACTCATTAAGCTAAAACCTCGGGGAAATTTTGTATTGTGCTAGTATCCTGGAATTTTTGTTTTCTTGTTCGAATTGGCAGGTTTAAGAATATAATACTTTTTTTGTTATAATACTTTAAAATTATAAAAAAAAAGTTTTAAAACTATATTTTATTTTTATTTTATTTTAAACAAATATTTTTTTTTATTTTATTTTATTTTAAACAAAAATTTTTTTTTATTATTTTTTTTTAATATAATTTTTGATTATACTAAAATTGTATGATAAATTTTATAAAAATCTAATAAATTACATCAATCATATAATATAAAAATTCATCCCGATTAAATTGGTAGATTTTCATTTGACCATAATTTAAATGTCCGATCAAATCCGGAAGACGCAATAAACTTATTATCTTTTAATAAAATAAAGTATAACAATAATGATTATTAATTAAATTCCAATTATTAATTCCAAAAATACTATTAATACTAACCTGAAGAAACGTCTACAGCCATAACTTTTCCATCATGACCTGCTAAACTTTTTAACAAATTCCAATCGTCTGCAGACCAAATTTTAACAAATCCATCATATCCACCACTTACTAAATATAACCCAGAAAGAGTGGGATTTATACCAATTGCCCACTCTTCACTTGCCAATGATAATGAACCATTGAAAAACTTTACTTCTGATACGAGAGATTTATGTGCAGCTATAATATAGGCGCATCGCAAAGTACGAATATCCCAAATTCGAATTGTATTATCAGCACTTCCAGTAGCAACTTGATAGCTAAAAAGATAGAGAAATTCTTGCCAGGTGAGACAACTTCAAAACATTAATCAGATATTTAAATACGCACCCATTTGGAGAAAAATCCACGGATAAAATATCTTTGACATGTCCCTCCAAAACCATAGCAGACCTGCCTGTTCTTAAATCCCATACTCTTCCTATCGCATCTAATCCACTAATATAAATGAATATGTTTAAAATGGCCCGTTCAACATATAATTATTTCCAATCAAAAAAAAATCAAATACCCTGTAGCAACTAAGGCACCATCTATTTGAAATTTAATAGCATAGACTTCTCTTGAATGTCCTTCTTGTAAAAGTAACTCTTCTGTAGTTTCAACATCCCAGAGACGCCATGAAGCATCATAACTAATTTTTTTTTAATCGCGGTAAAGATAATTGTATGAAACAAAGGTAGAATAAAATGGTAATTTAGAGCAAATACCTGGCTGATCCAAGAAATCGTCCCGAAGGATGAAAATCAACCTTCGATACCCTGGCAGTATGTCCTTGTAATGATGCCAATGGTATTTCACTTTCCAATGACCACAAATTAATCAACTCATCAGCTCCTCCTGATGCCAAATTTACTACATTCCTATCAATGGAGAGAGTTGACTGCGGGTGCCAAGCAACTCCTCCAACTCGGTCCGTGTGACCTATATTTAATTTAATAAATAATAAGTAAAAAAAAAAGGTAAAAAAATAAATTCAATAATACAAACCTTTGAAAGTAATTAACGTATCACAACTTGGTACATTCCATATCCGACATAATCCAGACCACGAACCAGTGGCAATCAGACTACAATCTGGTGAAAAACTGCACTGTGAAATGGGTCGATCATCTCCAATTTGAGAACTGAAATTTGCATAAGACTAAAACATACATAAAACGATTAACTGATAAATTGCCTCAAAGCAAAAAATTTTGTTAGGAAATCAGTTACCTTTAATCCTGCAAATAAATCTTTTCGTAATGATTTTATTTGAGGTAATGGCATATCGTATTCTAATCGTTGCCGTTGAAGTCGATCTCTTGCTCTAAAGGAAATTATATTTATTCATATTAATTTATTGTTTAATGAATCAAAATAATAGAAATAGTTGATAAGCTAACTTTGGTAAAGAATATCTGGTCATCCATCGCCGAGCCTCTAGCAATTTTAAAGTTCCTTGGGTGAAAAACTCTTCTTCTTTCTTGATTTATAAACACGAACTAAGTTCACTTTCGTCAATAAATAATTTTACAAAACATGACAATTATTTCACGTAAAACATACCTCTTCCTCAGACTCGGATTCGGTTTCTTCTTCTTCATCAGGTACAATTTCAGTTCCTTCTAGTTTTGAAAGTAAATATCTTAAACGATCACGTCTATCTCCGGGCTTTTAAAAAAAAGAATTGACGCGCTAATATGTCATTTAAGAGTAATCCAGTCATACTATAATGAAAAAAAAAAGACTGCTTACGCCTTCTCCGAATAAACATTGTGGTTCTCCAAGCTCTCTAAGCTTTGATCGAACACGTCCATCATCGGTTGGTACAGCGAGCGTTCTAGCACGTTTCTTTCGTTCAAATTCGTCTAAAATTGCCTGATGTTCTTCGCGTGCCTTTTTAGAAGACTCGGATAATTCATAATTCATCGAATTGTCAACTATACAATAATAAATCAAGTGGATTAATATACCTTTACAAAATGAAACTTCATAAAAACATTACAAACCTAAATCTTCTAAAGAAACACCATTCAAGTCCTTGATAATAAAAAATAAAATTGAATTCTCGTTAAATCTCGTGAAGTACATAAAGCTTGAAAATTATGAACAGCCGAAAAAAAAAAAATACCTCCGCGGTTGCGGCTGTCTTCCTTCTATTTTGACGCTCTGATTCTTCAATGCTGCCAAAGTGAACTCGTTGTCTGGATAATACATTAGACAATGAAGCTTCGCCAGCACGTTTATTCTGCTTATTATCTACATCCATTGGAGTCGACATGCTTAATAAGTAAACGAAGAAATTAAAAAGTTTTGTAATTTTTTTTCCACGTGCTTTGTATTTTATTTTTGTTTGTTAATGATTGTGTCACCCAATATTGCTTCAACCAATAAAATAATATTCTTTAAAAATTGCTTTTCAATTTTATCGACTAAAAATGTCTGAAAATAATAATGTTCGCTTGAGGCAAAATGGACAGGCTGAGAGCGGAATACCGATTCAAGAAGAGTTGGACGACAAAAAGAAGGCAAGCCTTGTTATTTTATTCTCTTTAAAGGAATTTCTACTTATATCATTGAAATTACAGGAAGTAATTATCAAAAAACGAGAAAACACACTCAATGGAATTTCAGCATTTGTCTTGGCAGGATTAACTCTATTATCATTTGCAACTCGTTTTTATAGAATTGATCATCCAGCTCAAGTTGTGTACGTATTTATTTTTGTTTTTGTTTAAATGTGCTAGCTTTAATTACCTTGTTTACATTTTATATTTTATAAGCTTTGATGAGGTTCACTTTGGCAAATTTGCAAGTTATTACCTTAAAAGAACTTATTTTTTTGATGTTCATCCTCCACTTGCAAAAATGATGCTTGCTGGAATGGGATATATTCTTGGTTATGACGGCCATTTTGAATTTGATAATATCGGAGATGATTACATAAAAAACAATGTACCTTATGTTGGTTTGAGAGCTTTACCTGCCGGTTTAGGCGCACTTTTTGTTCCTTTAACATATATGATTATGATAGAATCCGGATATCCTATAATTACCGCGACTTTTGCTGCCTCTTTGGTATTATTTGGTAAACTATCTTTTATGTAACGGAGTTGAGTCTTAATATCAGTATATTTTTCGTTTAATTTACTACTATTTGCTGTAGATAATGCTTTTATTTGTCAAACGCGTCTTATCCTTCTTGATTCTATGCTTGTATTTTTCATGCTTTGCACTTTTTATTCTTATATCAGATTCTATAAACTTCGATCAAGGTAAGTGTACAATCAATTAATTTTTTTAATTTAAATTTGAAAAGTAAAGATCATATTTTCTTCTCGTAGGGAATTTTCTAATGAATGGTGGCTATGGTTGGTCGCATCTGGAGTTTTCCTTGGGTTAACTGCAAGTGTTAAAATGGTGGGATTGTTTACGGTCATGACTATTGGAGTTGCTGTTCTTATTGATTTATGGAATTTATTAGACATAGAACGTGGGTTGACAATGGTACGATTAAAAATAAGATTTTATATCTCTGATACTGTCCATGATTTATTACGAAAAAAACCAGTTAAATTATAAAAACATTTCTAGATTCAATTTAGGAAACATTTTGCTGCACGTGCTATTGGATTAATTGTTGTGCCAATTTCAGTTTATTTGTTTTGGTTCTATATTCACTTTCTCATATTGAACACAAGTGGTCCTGGCGACGCGTTTATGAGTCCTGCTTTTCAGGAAACTTTGCATGGAAATATAATGAATTTGCAAAGTTTTGGTAAATTTCAACTTGATTCATTTTTTAATTCATTTTGTTATATTTTATTGCTTAACTTTATCTATATTACAGAGATAAGGTATAATGATACAATAACTTTAAAACATAAGGATACTTCGGTATTCTTACATTCTCATCTTGAACGTTATCCACTTAGATATGAAGATGGACGAATCAGTAGTCAAGGTACGTATCTCCTTATAAACCTTTTTAACATTTAAATTTTTCATTAAACATATGTATTTATTAGGACAACAAGTGACAGGATATCCACACGAAGACAGTAACAATCACTGGAGGGTTAAACCAGCAGAAAATTTTTTTAACGTTTCAAGACCAGAGAATGATACGGTTAAACATGGAGATTACATATTACTTGAACATATTAATACGAGCTCAAATCTATTAACACATGATGTAGCTTCACCACTTATGCCAACTAACCAGGAAGTTACTACATTGCCAACAGATGATAAGTCGCGTTATAATGAAACAGTGTTTCAAGTTTTAATTAATGATGGAGATTCTGAAACTATATTGAAGACCAAATCATGTTATATTCGTTTAATTCATTACGAAACTAAAGTAGCTTTGTGGACACACGAGTTAACTTTACCTGAATGGGCCTTTAAGCAACAAGAAGTTAATGGTAATAAAAATAATGCCGAGAAAAGCAACTTTTGGTATGCAAATGAAATTGTTGGTAAAAATAGTAAGTATAACTATTATATTTCTCATATATATATCGATATCTCTCAGTTAAAGAAATCTAATCTCACCTGATTTTTTTTTTAATAGTAACAGATCCTTTAGAGCCGAAGAAACCAACGAGAAAAATACCATTTTTATTAAAATATTTAGAATTACAAAGATTAATGATAAGCCATAATTCTGGACTAACAAAATCACATCCATATTCAAGTGGACCAATTAATTGGGCATTTTTAATACGTGGTATATCATTTTGGACAGACAATGACAACAAACAACAAATCTATTTATTGGGAAATCCTTTTACATGGTGGTTAGCTGTTGCTTCAATGGCTGTACTTGTCGGAGTTTTATTGGCCGATGTAATTTCAAGACGTCGTGGTGTTCATCCTATAATGGATCGTAAGTATTAAAGCAATTTCGTTAAAAAAAATTATTCTTCCTCTTCTTTATCCCGCATTAACTAATTTTCATTCCTCTAATTATAGCCGTGAGAAATCGATTATATAATTCAGGATGTTTCTTCTTCTTAGCATGGGTTTTCCATTATTTACCATTTTATTTAATGGGTAGATCATTATTTTTACATCATTATTTACCAGCATTATTATGTAGTTATATTGTAACATCGGTCGTATTTAATTTCATGTTTATAAAATTAATTAATTATCCAGTATCTGTAGTTGGTGGCAGTATGTCAAATAATAGACCTAAAGTTATTTATCCAATTTTAAAAGCAGGCGTCAATTATATATCAATCGTAGCTTGCGTAATATTAATTAGCATATCATTTGGTGTTTATTTATATTATACACCTTTAACTTATGGTACGCCTGGACTTGATCCACTCGGTGTACATAATCGAAGATGGTTAAGTACTTGGGATTTACATTTTCAGCCAAAGAAAGATGAAATATAATATTTAATTTAATTCATTGAAGTTTACAAATCATTTGTTATTAATTTTAATCAATTTGTAAAATAAATAATATTTTACAAACCTTTTCCCCCTTTAATTCTTTCTACATTCATATTTATTTTGATTATATTCGCAAATAAAAGCGCTTAAATATAATCAAAAAATAAAAATTTTTTATTCTCGTTTGATTTATTATGCTCAAGAATTCAATATAAATTCATTTAATAGATGTCATTATTCAAGAACAATAAAAAATACAAAATTATACAATGAAAAAAAAAATTACTAATGATTACAAAAAAATTGTAATTACAAGCGAAAAAAAAAAAAAAAAAAATAGTATATTGCTTCGATTCAATTTATTATTATATTGACATCCAAACTTTACTGTTATAAAAAAGAAAAGACAAATAAAAAAAGTTGCTAAATAAAAAATATATATTTTTCATGATAATATGGACCTTCAATCGAAACATCCTTTACAAGATATCATCCCATGTATCATAGCGTGGTCCATCAAAGTCATCATCTTCGGGTTCACTGTCGTCAATGTCTTCTTCTTCACGTTTTATCATACATTCTAGTCAGTAAAAAAAAAAATTACATTATATACGAATTAATTATTAACGAACAATTAAATTTTAAAATTTACCACTACATCTCGCTTTTTCAGCATTTTTTCTTTGAGCCTAATTATCATGTTTTTTAAAAATATAATAATAAGGTAAGTTAAAACATACGAAATTAAAAATTAGTAACAATATAAATAATACCTTTGCAAACTTTTCCAAAGGCATGGTGCGTGTACAAAGCATACAGGTTAAAGTTTCATTCTGTTGCGGGGTACATTGTTTACATATGGTGTGATGTTGCTTTTTAGTTCTACCACCAGGAGCGTAAGCTATATTGTTGAAATTCCAAGAAGTTGAACGGAATAGCTCATTCAAGTTGCAAGCCACTTTACAAGATACTTACGGTTACTAATATTTGAGTTTGTCTTTGCAATTTGTGTTTTAGAGAAAGCATACTGAGGTTTCATCTTTTCACAGCCATAACAGAATAATTCGACAGGCTTATTTCCTTGCTTGTTAGCGCCAGCTGCAGAATGGCTAGGACCACTGAAAGTCATTTCGTATTGTTTAAAGCACAAAAGGAAAAGAAAAAAAAGACATTATATAAATTTATGGATCTGTATTACATCATACCTTGTGAAGAGTTAAGATAGAATAATTGATCGGCTAATTTAAGTAACTCTATATATAGACTGTTATTTTATCAATTAAGTATTAAATTTATCAATTGTACAAATATAAAAAGATTAAAATATAAAGTAAAAAAATACTACTATTCTTGTAGTTCGACTAATCACCAAACTTTCCCTCCAATATAACCAAAATAAATAATCTAATAATTATATTTAATAATGAAGCTATTAATATCTATTCAAAAGGTCAAGTATTACCAAATTTAAGAGATCAATCCATTTTTTTCCGAGACATATTTAGTATTATAAAAGAAGTTGTTAATAGAATAATAAAATAAGTTTACTCACATAATTGTTCTACCAAAATTTCGAGTATGGTTGTAAAAAAGCTATAAAATATGATGACTTATTTAAAGCCAAAAGACCAAAAATATATTTAATTCGTAATTCGCCTATCACGTGTATATAATTTCTGGGGACTTTTTACTATTTAAACCGCAAAAATATGAATCTTGACCCAAAACTTGATTGACGATTAATGTCCGGAAAATATTTTACTTTTTGAATTTTAGATTTGATCGACATTATTGTTTACAGTTTATTTTTATTTCGTACTATGTCTAACTTTAATAACGTTGACAATAAAGAAAATAACACAACCACTTCTTTATACAATATTTTTTTGGAGAAATATGAAAATAATAAATTTATGAAAGTGACTTGGAACAATTTTTTGTTTTGTCTAACTGTACTTGTCGCAATTAAAGTGAAAATGCTTCAAAGAAGTTAGGTTTAAAGCTTTTCTTGCAAGACATTTGGAATTTAAAGGTCTAGAAAAAAAAATAACTAGAATTTGTTTTAATGGGTCAACTATTAGCTTTCTTTAATAATGATAGCAATGTTCAAAAAAAAAATATTATTTATCAATTTAATTCTCAAATTTCCTTATGCAAAAACACTTATCTTAAACTTGTTTGCATTAAAGATGAAACTTTAAAAGCTATTAAACATCATTTATTAACCAAAGGATTGGTGGAATAAGAGCATGAAAATATGAGAAATCTTCCTAAAGTTATATCATGTGTAACTATTAATTAAGAACTAGCAAAAAATATTTATAATTATATCAATAAATGTGCAAATATTTATGGATTTTCCTTCATATGTAAACAGATTCTTTAGCAATGATTTTTTTACCAACTGAAAAAATTATTCTAGGATTTATAAGGATTTATCAGAACTAATAAAGAATTAGACAATAATGCATCAATTATATTATATAAGAGTTTTGTTAGACTTTAGAAGAATCTTACATTACATATTAAGTTTATGATATCAGTTACAGATTTATGTGATGTGTATAAAATATTAAAAAAAAAGGTTTAATATGCAAAAAATCCTGATGAAAAAAGTAAAATAGGATTAGAATTAAAGAATCATAAAAATGAAGCAAAAAAGAAATGAAAATATTATATTTATAATATTACAAATAGTAATACATATAAAGAAATTGCTTATATCTGATATCAAATGTTTCTATACCCTTTTTCTGAACTCAGTCAACCCCTTTTTTAGAAACACCTAAACCAAAATTTATAATAGATAATTTATTTGCTAAACTAATTGAATAAAAATAAAATTCTATATAATACAATAATTCACTAAATATTAATTCTTTATCAAAGCCCATAACTATTGAACCTAACATTTTTGTTTGAATTTTAAAAATTGTCTATATAAAGAAGTAATTGCATTGGTTAGATTATCTTCAATTTTACCGAATTAGAATCATATTGACAAGTAACAGATAAGTTTATATCAAATTTATTTCCTTTTAAAACACATATAATAAATTTTTTCCATTTATTTTAACTTATGTTTTCATATCAATCTAAATAAAAAATATCATTTCTATATCATTGCCACTTTTTTTTTGTAAAAATAAACTATCAATTTTGTAAAAATAGTTTATAATATAAGTGAGATTTAATTAATCTACTAGAAATTAATATAATTGTAAGTTTGCATCTTTTTGCCATAATTATTATTATTATAACTAACTTTTTTTTTACAATAAATTAAGTTTATAAAGATTTGAAAGTTTTATTTGAAGATATTAATATTGATTCTTTTTTAAAATCATTATTAATTTTATCTTTATTATGTATATCCTCTTGAATTATATTATTATCATTTAGAATATCTTTAGTTAAAATTCATAAAAGTAATTAATCAATATATTTTTTAATAAAATATTATAAATTATTATTAAATTTTTTAATTTCTCAAATTATTTAATCAATTTTGTCGTTACATTATTTATCTATTTATTAAGACATAGCAGAAATCAGCTGATTTTAACTAATCAGTAATCTGATCCTCACTTGATTAAATTTTAATTGGTTAAAATTATATATATATTAATAATATAATAATAAAATTATACAAATATTTTGCCATTCAGTAATCCAATTTCCCTATAAATAATCAGTATAAGGAAAGTATACGGAAATAATACGTTTTTTAAACGTATAAAAAACGTAGAAAAACAGTATAATAAATTCGTAAATATTTCCGTATACAAGATACTGAAAATCGTCTT